CTTCCACAGGTTTCAAAAACGACGTTTCGACGAGTTTGCAAAGTTGCTAAGGAACCAAATGCTGTACCAAAAAAGCTATCTCAATCTTGTACTACGGTAGTAACAAAAAATTTTAAAAGTAAATTTTGTCAATAAACTATACAAAGTAAAAAATACTTTACAGAACTGAAAAATTTATTTTTGGAAAAAACTTTGTACAGCAACAATTAAAAACCTACAAAAAATCGTTCTCTGACCCCTTATACATTAGAAAGTATCTGAATATAGGCTAGGGTGGGTTTTCACGTGACTTCTATATATATGTTTGTTTATTTATCCGGGTTGACGTCCATACAAGAAAAATGTCTGTCATACATTTTCATATATGGAGTCTATGAAAAAAGTTAAGCAACGTTTTTTTTTTGTAGTGAACAAATAGTGTTAATTGTTTTTATATGCTATGAAACCCCTATAATTGTCAAAATGAAGGCTATTTTTTTCAAATACTGAATTTCTCTAAGTAGAATTTTTAGCGCCGTATTCAGAAAGTTTAGTTTTTTGCAATCCGATCAACAATTTAGGTATCATAAATAATGACAAGCGGTTTTTATACGTTATAATTGCCTGTTAAACTCTAGAGAAACCTTTCTTAGTTAACGTGCTTCGGGCAAAAACACAAAACTTCAGAATAAAAATCAGAAATTGGTTTCAATTTTTCTAATAGAAAGAATGATTGTCATACAATTTCATGATATGGAAAAATGATCATCAAATAATTTCATAAAAAGAAAAATTTGACTGCATGCAATTTTTGTAATTAAAAATTTTGCAAAACGCAGGTTATTTTGTCCAGGTTGACGGAAAAACACGTATTTTAAAAAATTTTTGCACGGCAAAAATGACTGTTTTGCTATTTTCATACTATTTGTTTTTCTTCTACGGAAACGGTTTTGTTTGCATTCCCTGCCAAATTTTTTTGATTGTGGAGATTCTCTGCAAAAACTATTAGTTTGCCGTATGCCTAGCATTAACACTTAATGTATAAACCTGTCTGATGAAAATTTTTGGTTCCTTAGTGCAAATATATTTTTTTGGAACAAGTTTTGGAAGTTTGCTGATAAATTTAAATTTCAATTAAAAGCGTTTTAGTATGATTATCATTCGACACATACAAATTATTATCCTAGGTATTCATTTTTTTCGAAAAAAAAAACACAAACAAGGAAAAAAACCAACCAAAGGCAAAGTTCGTCCTCGTTTTGAATGGTAGTAACAACAAAAAAGCTAGCATCAAATATTAATTCAAGACGCACACGCAACTGTACCCTAGTTTGATTGCTACTTCCTAGTTTTTTTGTAACCAACTTTTGCCCTTTTTTGGTTGATCCATTCCTTGATCAGTATTTCATATTTGATCAAAATTATGCAGCATTTCTTGAACTACACGCTCCATAACATACCGGAAATCTGGCATTGTCAAGGTTTGTATAAAGTAGGACTCACCTGAAACTTTTAGCATAAAACATTGTACTTACAAGCACAAAGAATGAAACACAAAACTTAAATATTATCAAAACCAAAATTAACAAACAAAAATTGTTTAAAAATCAGTTTTTCTGATAGGAAAAAAAAAACACTTCACAGCGATCAGTTAGTGGTTCAACCCGTCCCATCACAAATTAGGTGCGGCTGAACTTAATTTATGTTTTGCGGGGTTTCAATCGCTGGCTGATTGTTTAATTTCGGTTTTGCTAGAAATTCATTATCCAAATTGAAATGATTATGAATTTTCGATTGAACTTCTGAAAGGTAAAAAGTATATCGTAATTAAAATCCGCAATTAAAAATTTCATTAAATACAAAACCCTCACTCAATAAAAAGATGAACGCTTGTAAGTTTTGAAAGCAAACTGCAAACTCAGGAGAAGATTGCACTTCATTGAAATCCTCAAAGAAAACAAGAATGCATTAACCTCGTTGCATGGTGAAACTATCTGGATTGACAGCTGGATTAGTATAAACCCAGCTAGCCTTAAAAATTGAAAACATCAACTTGCTTGAAATTAATTGCTTAAATTGTCGATCTTTTCTGATAAACTAGCCGAATTTATTGCTTATTGAGCTGTCAACCCAAGTTTTTTTTAACTTGCTTCAAACTTAAAGCATTCGTGCTATTTTAAAGGTTTAAAGTAATGCAATTTTTTGAAGTGCAATATTCCCTTGAGTATGCAGTTCGTTTTTTAAGCTAACAAGCTTTCCATTTTTTTTGAGTTAAAAAACTTTTTTTTCAATGATATTTTTAATTACGGAATTTGTGGTTGCGCATCTAAGTTTATGCCTAAGTTATTGCTTATAACGAAATATAGTCAAGATTTTCTGACAGTTATAACTAAAATCAATAGGTTTTGAAAAAAACTATTATCTATTATCATTGTGACAATTTTAGGTGACTATAATCTTTTATATTTCCTAAAAAATCTAGTCATTTATAAATA